CCACTGCCGGCCTGGTTTTTCCTCTTGCCCATTTACTCTGCCTGCCCCAGCAGCGTCCACCCCATGAAAGGGGTTCGGCAAATAAGGACGGCCAGGGGCTCAGGGTCCTCAACTCCATAGGGGTCTCCAGGACCTGGTCTGGTGCAGGAGGTAAAGGAGCCCCGGCCATGTAGACCCATCTCCTGGGCGGTGCCCACTCCCATGGCACTCCTTGGAGAGAAGGAGCAGCGGGCTGGGCACCCCCACCCCAGCCTGGCCCAAGGAGAGCGCTTGGCTTGTCCTGCCCTCCTTAGCCCGTCAAGAATGTGCCGCTGCAGGGAGTAAAAATAGAAGCTGATGGCCCCGGGGAGGAGGGAGGCCTGGTCTCCTCCAGCACGTCCCTCTGTGCTCTGGCCTCCTCCTCCGGCCATTCCTATACTAGGTAAGGGGCTGTGTGGGCACCATCCCTACCCCCCTCCCCACACACCCTGGTCCCCCAGCCCCTGGCCAATGGGCTGCTGGGAAAGATCAAGTGTCACTATAACACGAGGGCGTGGGGCTGGCCGGGCAGTGCCTGCAGCCGGTCCTGTCCACAGGGAGCTACAGCCCTTCTCAGACTCAACCTGCAGGTCGGTAGGGGCCAGAGCAGCACCCAGGCCTGGGGTGGGCAGGGGCCTGCCATGCGCTGGGCTGGGCCAGCCCTGAGGCACGCTCTGGGGTCCCGGGGTGCTGAGGTCCTGGGATGGCAGGCTGCCACACATCTCAGCCCTATGCTCAGTGGCTTGAGAACCCAGGAGGCCCCCGGGATCCCGAGAGGCTGGATCCTAAAACATTGTGCTGTGATGGCCTCTGAGCATCGGAATGATGCCGAGAGATGGTTCCAAACCAGAGGCCGGGAAGGAGAAGACGGGGTTCCTGGGGAAGCCGGGGGTGAGGGGTGCCCTAAGGCAGGAGCTGGTTTCCTGCCCCAGGCCGGTATTTGCCTCCCCAAGGGTGCCCCTGTGAGAGGAGCCACAGCCGGCTCCTCCCGGAAGCCACCGGTGCCCGGCCCCACGTGGCCCACGTCTCCACTGCCAACACTGTGTAGGGCCGAAGACCAAGGCGGGGCGGGGGCGTATCTGAGGTCACCCCAGCAGTGGGTCCTGGGGGAGAGAACCCCAGCGTCCCCAGGGCCCAGCTCCCAGAAGTCAGGAAGGGGTGGACAGGACTGGGCTGGAGGCAGGACAGAGGGAGGATGAGCAGCCAGGCCTCTGTCGCTTCTGCCCGGAGTGACGGCGTCCCACCTTGCTGTGGCTGGAGGATCGGGTGCTCCTGAGAGCCCCCACCCCTCTTCACCATGACATCATTACCTCTTCCTCGTGTGCCCATCTGATCAGGGCTCAGCTGCCCCTGAAGTTGCCTGCACAGGACCCTCACGTACCCCACCCCCCCAGCTTTTTGGAGGCTCCCAGCACTCCTGGGGGGAGAGGGGCAGGGCGAGGCTGGCCAGATGGACATGGGGCCATGGTGGATGTGGCCAGGGACCCTGCCGGTGAGTGGCAGGGCCTCCTGCCTCCCCACCCCACCCCACCCCTTGGGTCTTGTCACCTTTGAAGATGGGAAGGATGGCGTGTGTCCCTAAGAAATTGACCTCACAGGCTATTTTCATACGCCTCTCTGAGGACAGAACGTTCAAGTGGACAACTGGTTTCCTTCGCAGCTGCCGAAATGCCATCCCATGCCCCCAAGCAACTCCCACCCCCAACCCCTCCCCAGCTGACAGGGATGGTGACACAGACCACACAGATGGGGAGGGGCACAAAGCAGCTCTGTGTTGCTTCCAGGCACTCAGCACAGGAGCAGGGACCTCAGTTTCTCTGCTTGGACAGTGGGGGTACAATAGCCCTCCCTGGGTGCCCATCTGGATTCTGGCCCAGAGGGCAGGAGAAAAGAGCTGGGGCCAGCCTGGGTGCCCACAGGGGAGGGGACTTGGGGGGACTGGGAGCTGGGCTGTTCTCAAAGCACCCCCCCCCCACCGTCTTGGGTTTCTGGGCAGAGGCGTCTTGCTGATTTTGGTGCCTATTTTTGGGCACTTCAGTTGCCGCCAGCTCCTTATAAACAACCCACCCTCTCTCTGGGCTGACAGGTGCAGGGCCGTGCCAGGGTCAGGTGGGCACTGCAGGGCGGGGCCCGGGCTCCCCAGCCTCTCCTGCCCTTGCCCCCTACGTGGAGTGGCCCTGGGAGGAGGCTGGGGGGCCAGCAGGGTCAGCACCCAGCAACAGGGGGTGCGTTGGGCAATGCTGCCGGTCGAGCTGAGGAGCTCTGAGACCCAGGCTCAGCTGTAGAAAAGACAAAAGGCTGAAACTTGGGGGCAGCAGAGCCTCTCGGATGTGGAGGGCTGCAGGCCACATTGCCTGCAAGAACGTTTCCAGATATCTGTTGGTTAATTTTGCATGGAGCTTAAGTTGCTCTGGGAAAATTAACATTCTTGACAGAGGGTTTGGAAAGCAGTTCCCACCTTCGTAATGCCACGTAAATGCATTTTTAGCTGATGAACGTGTGTTTTTCTTATACAAAGCTCCCTGGGGGAACCATAGCCATTGTCTTCAAGTGAGCTGTAATATGTTGTAATGAACTTTGTTTTCTAAAACCCCGGCCAACAATCCAATGCAGCTGCTCGCAGTGTTCCCAGGCCCCGGCCTCCTCAGGGGCGTGCGGTGGCCAGCTCACGGAAGGACCGTCCCAAGCTGGCTGGCCCGGCGCCGGCCCCACCTGGATGCGCACAGCCCATCCCTGGCACGGCGCTTCCCCACAGACATTGACAAATTCGAGAGCTGCATGGGGCCAGGGAAGGCAGGCCCGGGAGGGGAACAGGGCTGGTGTTCTCTCTGTCTCTGCAGTACACATGTGCCTCTCACAGCACCAGCTGGGGGGACACAGAGGGGAGCCCAGACCCTGGCCCCAGTGAGCTCGGGGTGCAGTCTCAGTGTCTAGTGGAGGAGGGAGAGACGGACCAGCCCACATGCTCTGTGAATGTGGAAGGGAGTCCTGAGGATGTGGGGGACATGCAGGAGACTCTGGGGCACCCCATAAGAGAATGTGCAGTCCTCAAAGATGCCACAAAGCACAGACTGGAGCTTTGGGCTCACACGGGAAGGGGTGCTCATGGGGGACGCTGGAGCACACAGACCAGAGAAGGAGGAACTGCTGTGCTCGGCCATCTAGGGGCTGCCAGAGAGCCCCCCAACCTAGGCCCGCTGGGCAGAGACCACCAAGAAGAAGGTTTTCATTCCAATCAGCACGATTTTCCCAGGGTCTTGTGCAGCCCCCAGCCCCCAACCGGGACAAACACTGTGCATTCTGGATGACCTTCCTTGGGGGACACTCCATAGAGGACGTCTGCCCTGGGTGGGGGTGGACTCCGCGACCTTCCAACTTCCCATTCAGCTCTGGGATCCCAAGCTCCAGACTGGAGCCAAGGCAGGAAGGAGGGGATCAGAGTCTGGGGTGAGGGGGGCTGGGAGGGGGCCCAGTGGGGAGGCCCTGAGTGCACGAGGTGGACCCGCCTGAGGCTGAAGCATTGGCCGGCCCTTGACCCCTCTCTGTGCTGTCCCCTCACACCCTCAGCTTCTAGAGCACTCCACCACCCTATTCCAACATTTCCAAACTAAGGCAGCACCCAATCTCTCTCTCTCTCTCTCTCTCTCTCTCTCTCTCTGTCTCTGCAGAAACAACCCTAACCCCACCATGTCAGACGAGGAAGTGTGAGTACCAGTCTAAGTAGCTGCCTACCCCCGCCCACACTCAGGACCCCAGGCCCCTTGGCCGGTGTGCAGAGGCTGGAGGACCTGCTAATGTTGGTTACAAACCTACCTGAGCAAAAGCCCACCTCACCTGCTCTCTCTCTCTCTTTCTCTCTCTCTCTCTCTCTGTCTCTTTCCTCCCCACCCCCTGCAGTGAACAGGTGGAGGGTAAGTGTCTCAGCTATTTTCTTTTTACTTCTACCTCTAGACAGAAAAGTCACCCTTGGGGAGGGGGTTTGCTGGTGGGACAGTCTACGACCCCTTGGGAACCCCCGGCCCGGAGGTACTAGACTTGCTGCATTCTGTGGGTTGGTTTTGGAGCGAACCCCTCCACAAATGGCCTGACATCTCGGGGCCTTGTCTTTTCTCTGAGATGTGGTCACAGCTCAGCCCTGCCAGGCACCCCGCCAAGCTCCCACTGCAAACCTGCGTGGGCGGTGTGGCTCTGAGGAACCTGCAGGGTCTGGTCCCCCCGCCCCTCCCCCCCGTCACTCTCTGTCATGCTCACACCCGCAAGGGGACACGGGCATCTGGGAGCACCCGACTCCTCCCTGAAAGTCGCCGTCATCGCCAGGGTCTTTTCCTCTGCCAGCCCCAGGCAGCCTCCTTTGGGCCCGAGGACCCCCGGGTCCCCATCCCTGGCCAGCGAAGCGGCTGGGCGGTCCAGGGGTGGGCACGCGGCTGCTCCTCGCCCCGCTTTCTCGGCTGGCACCGGCTAACACAGCCCTCTCTTCTGTTCTCTCCCAATGCAGAGCAGTACGAGGAGGAAGGTAACTCTGGCAGCCCGGGAGGCCCCCCGCCCTACCCAGACCCCCCGTCTTAGCTCAACCTCTTCTCCTCCTGCCGGGGGGTCTTCAGCCCCTTCCCACCCAGGGCCCTCTCTGGGTCTCCTTGAGCTCATTCATTAACCGTTCATCTTCCTCACCATTAGTTCATCATGAATGACCATCATTAATTGTTATTGTCATTAATGATTGATCACATAACCACTTAATGAATGATTGATCATTTAATCATTAATTAAATCACCACTAACCTCCATCTCTTTAACTGGTTAATGTACACTCATTAATCATTCATTAACACTTCATGGTCACCACAGCCATGGTGTGTGGAGCTGGCTGGGATCTGGTCACTGGGGCTGTCACTCAGTAATGTCTGCGCCACAGTATGCACGTCCCGCCCGCCTCTCGTCATTCCTGTCTCTCTCGATACCTCTCCGTCTCTCCCTCAGTCTGTCCCTCCCTGTGTCTCTTTCTCTGTCTCTCAGCATCTCTCCGTACCACCCCCACGCCGTAACCTTGGGTGGAATCCGGAGACCCCTCCCTGGCTCTGGCTGGGTGTGGTCCATGGGTGCCGTGTGGTGCCCGGGCAGGCGTGGGTGGGTGGGGAGCGGGGCTGCAGGTGCACCTGGGGACCGTGTGGGACAGCAGTTCTCAGGCACTGGGCACTGCTCTGAAGTCCCTGCACCCACTCAGCTCAGGGGCGCATCCACATACCTTCAGAGGCAGGGCTGTCCTGCAAAATCTGTTTTGAATGTATTTTGAAAACACTTGGCCACCCTAACAATGTGAGCAGAACATTTCTTTTTCTGCCACAAAGGTGGAAAGACTCAATTCTGAGTGGGAAACGTGGGTGCCACCCTTTCCCGTGGGTCAGCCATGCAGCAGGACCAGAGGCCACGAAGGTTCTCCCCACGAACATTTCCCGAAAGACCCTCAGTGCCAGCCTTGCTTCCAGGTGCACTTAGAGATGGTCCCGTGTGGACACTCCCCAGGGGGCCAGCCGTGAGCCAAGCAGCAGGGGACCCTCATGACACGTCTTCCCCTCGGCCCCTGTGGAGACTTGACATCATGGACAAATACCTCACTGCTCCAGAGGCCAGTCTCCGGGCATGAGAGCAGCGGGCTCAAGAGGCACCTGCAGCCATGTGGCCGCGGCCACTGGCAGACTCAGCTTGTGGGAGTCCCCACATGGCACAGCTGCTGCTGGCCGCAGATGCAGGACTGACCCCCACTGCCCCGCTCCATCCAGCCGTGCCCACCTCCCAACCCAGCACACCCTCTAACGACTGTCCCATTCTCTCTCCCTCCCACCTGTCTCCTGCTCCCGGCTTCTCCCACCCTCAGAAGAGGCCCAGGAGGAAGGTAAGCGGGGTCCAAGACCCCGGCCCCACACCCATCCTCCCAGCCTTCCTGCCCCCATCTGCCCTTCACCCCCACAGTAACCCCCCCAGCTGGGTCACGACCCCCAGCCTGCCTCTAAGGACATGCAGCATGCTCCCGCCTAACCACTCCTTTCTCTTGCCACCTCCCTGCGCACCCTGACACTCCTCCACTGCAGAAGTCCATGAGGAAGGTATGAGACACAGGACTTCTGGTCCCCATGTGGGGCCCGGGGCCTGGCTGGAGCCCACACAGGGGTGGGGGAGGGGACGGGAAAGCAGTGAGGGGCCAGCCAGCCAAGGGGTCCCCACATGAGGCCCCCACGTAACCCACTAACCATTGCCAATGCTTCACCCGAGAGGGCACAGGATCCTGAGGGGTGGCACTTCTCCTGCCCCAAAGAGTCCCGGCTGGAGTGGCCTGGGCCATGGATCAGGAGGGTGTCTGAGCACAGGGACCGGCTGTGAGCCGAGTCTGGCCCTCTGCCCCAGAGTGGGTAGCTGAGAGCCCACGGTGGCCAGGACCCCAGGCCAGATCTCAGGACAGCATGGGGTGATGGGGAGGGGAGGCAGAGCCCCTGCACTCCAGCCCTGCCCCACCAGCCCCTCAGGCTCGTTCCTGAGTCAGCCGCATTACAGCCCTTCAGGCAGACGGGTGGATGGAGGGGCCGGGTCCCATGCTCAGCTCAGTGGACAGAGCTGTCATCTGCACCAGGGTCTCCCCGGGGAGCTGGAAAGAAAGCGGAGGGGGCACCTAGCTCTGGGACAGCAGGAGATGGGGAGGTCCTGGGTGTGCCTCCCACAGCCTCTGTGCCCCTGCCACCCTGGGCTACAGGCCTGGGACCTCCGACCAGGCCGTGGCCCTCTGTGTGGGCTTCGGTGCCCCAATCAGAGGCACAGTCCTTCACCCCTGGGGCCCAAGGACAGACAGGAAGAGGGCGAGGAGCAGAGGAAGGCTCGAACCCTGATCCCAAACCTCTCAGAGCAGTCATGAGTCTTACACAAAAGCAAGGGCCCACGCTCTAGACTCCTCGAGCCTCGGTTTCCCCATCTGCGAGGTGGGACAGGTTGGGGTGGGCTCAGGTCTCCTCCAGTGTGCAGCAGGATGTGGGGACACGGGTCAAGGGAGGTGCAGCACCCAGCTGACTCTGACCAGACCTTGCTCACTCCCGCACGCGCCCGCCCCTCGGCCGTTAACCTTGGACCCCTTCTCCCTTGACCTCTGACCCGCGGTCTTGCCTCTTGTGCCTTGGCCCGTGAAGTCCATGAACCAGGTATGTGACGTGACCTCAGTGCCACGTGGGCTGGTGGAGCCGCGTGGGTGTGCAGGAGCCAGGCAGGAAGCAACAGGGGCCGCGTAACCGACTCACACCCCGGGCTGCTCGGCCCGCTGCTCCTGCCCTCCTGCCCCGCCAGCCCACCAGTGACACTCTGCCCCGCCATTCACGGCTGCTTTTCTCTCCCTCTCTCCCTCTCTGCCCCACCACGGTGCCGCTTCTGCAGAGGAAGTCCAGGAAGGTACGTGGCGCCCTCCGTGCACCAGGCCGAGCCCGCCCTCCCCTGCCCTCTCTCTCTCCTTCTTTTGCTGCAGTTGGCTCAGCCCGTTCTTGCCTCTGGGCTGGGGGCAGAGTGGGGACAGGTTAGGCCTGGACTGCTGACCGGGCGTGCTGGCTGATGGGTGCTGGCTTCATTCTGGTCCCCTCTGGCAGAGGGCATTCAGGGGCGTGGGGGCACCAGGGCCCTTCCCGGGCCACCAGCAGGAAGGTGGAAGGTGTGGAGACTCTGCCTCAAGGCCGGGCTCCAAGCAGCCCTTGAGAGGATGGTGCTGGGGTCCACTGGGACCCTCTGGATTCGCCAGGGTGGGTGGAGAACCGCAGAGGCAGAGGCAGGGTAGGCGGCCTCTGCCCTGCCCCAGACATCAAGCCAGAGCAGGGACAGTCAGGAGGGGCGAGTCTGAAGGGAGGGCGGGGGTCAGTGGGGTGAAGCAGAAAGTCAGGTGAGGCCTAAGGCAGGGACGGCGGGAACCCGGGACAGCCAGGGGCCCTGCATGTGAATGAGCAACCAGTCAGGTCCCAGCGTCCCGTCCACCGCCTGGGCCCAAGCCAGGCACACCCGGGCGAGGGGGCCTACAGGGTGGGCCTGTGCTCCCTGGCAGCAGGGCTGGCCGAGCCCCGGGTGGAGGCGAGTGCCCTGCAGCGCCACGTTAGGGGCCCGAGTTGGGAGCTTGTCTCAGCCCCCTTCCCCCACCGATGCCCCATGGGGCCATGGGGGTCCTCCTGGCTAGGCCTGAGCCCCCTGTGGCTCGGGCAAGTGTCTTCCTGTACAAGCAGGGATGTGCTGAGGAAGGGATAGACATGGACTTCCAGGCCGTGCAGGACAAAGTGTCCAGGAGACACCCTGGAGGGGCTGCGGGGTCACCAGGTCACATGGAGCCAGCCCGAGGCCAGCGGGGAGAGAGACAGGAGGGGGCAGGCGGGAGGACGGCTTTGCTGCTTGGGCTGCGTGGCTGCCTCCCCACCGCGCTCAGCCCCGGCCGCCTGGCTCCCCGGGCCCCCGAGGGGCGCTCTGCCAGGTGCTGCTTCCAACGCAGCCTGCGCAGCTCGTTTATTTTCTCTCGGGGCCCCGTTGCCAGGCACCGTGGCTCCGAGGCACCCTGCCATTCACTCGGGTTCCCGCACTCTCCCCCCGCAATGTGTGAGGAGAGGGTGACCCCAGGCCCCCCTGCAAAAGTGAGGGGCGCCCTTGAGGGGCCCTTTGCTGTGCTCAGCGGGTTCCTAAGCAACCAGTGATGTACGGGCTGAGGGGGATGCGAGGGAAAAACAGCTCCCGCTGGACCCCGGCCAAGTGCACACACTGGCGAGGGGCGCAGAGCAGGGGCTGAGGGGACAGCGTGGGGCAGGGAGCAGCCAGGCCAGGTCCACCCTAGTGTAGGGTCTGGAGGCTCCAGCCCAGAAGAAGGGCCACCTGTCTGAAGGCAGCCCCTGAGATGGCCGAGGGAGCCGTGGGAGGTGTCCCAGAAAGGCCTATGCCAGCCTCCAGAAGAGAAGGCTCTTGAGGGTCCAAGGGCGGGCTCCCAGGGAGGCAGGGACCCCCTCCCCTCAGCCCGGGCCCCTCACTGGGGGCTGTGACGAACAATCGGGACTCAGGTGGGGGCTCCTTGAGCTGAGACTAGCAAGGAGGCACAAATAAAATCTCTGACACAGGCTTTCCAGGCTCGAGGGGCCGGGAGACCTTGTGAATAGAGCTGTTCCATGACGTGCTGGGTTTCAGCCCAGCAAAACTGACCTTCGAGCAGGAGTCAGGACCTCAGGCTCTGCCCCAGGGCAAAGAGGCCAGTGTCCACCCCAGCAACAAGGCCCCCACGCTGGGGAGGGCCTCAGATTCCAGGGGCAGCCCTGCCAACCGAAGTGCCCCCAGGCCCTGCCCAGTGAGGTCCCCGTGTCCCTTCCATCACTGCCAGGCCTTCCTGGGTAGGCGTCTCCACTAGGCACCAGCTCTTTCTACCTCCTCCCCAGGCGACCATTCCCTGGCCCCCAGCTAGGGCCACCCAGGGAAGTGAGGGTCCAGGTTGGCACCTGCCCGTGGGTCCCCACGCTCCCCTGCAGCTGCGCGGGCTTTTCTCTTGCATGTGCGCTTGTGCCTTATGCTGTGAAGACGCCGTGGAGGAGGGGCAGGAGGAGGACGAGGAAGGTAAGTCCCGCTGGCCGCGGCCACGGCGCCCCCAGCTCTGTCCGCAGGCGATTCCGGTCCCTACACGTGCCGGTGCCTGTGGTGCTGCCTTGCCACCACTCCCTCCGTCTGTCCGTCTGTCCATCTGTCTGTCCGTCCTCCTCTTCTCCCTGGCATGGGGCCTCGGAGGGCCAGGCCTGGCTGCTTCACGCTGCATCCTCCATGGGGCTCAGGCTGCCGGGGCCTCGCAGGTGCCAACCACGTGGGGGTGTGGCGGTCAGTGGGGCCAGGCCAGAGCACCAGGAGCCTGGGCGCTTCCGCCCACGCCCCCGGTTTCTCCCGAGCTCCTTCCTTCTCTGACTCTCATGTCTTCCCGTCCTCATCTCTCCTCCCTTTTGTCCCGGCCTCGGAGGACGTACTTCTTGCCTCTATTTCTTCCTTCTTTCCTCCTGCTCCCTCCGTCCCAGTCCCCACGCCCTGAGCTCTCGTCCTCAGACCCCACCAGGGGCTCTCATAGGCCTGGAGTGCGGACAAGACCGTCTTGTTCTCGGTGGGGTGGATGGCTGGGTGGTGGTCTCGGCTGGAGAGGCAGGCAGCCCTACAGGCCCGAGCCCCGGGAGCCCCCAGCTAGGTGGTCCCCAGCGTTCGGCAGAAGGGGGGCCACCCAGTCTCACCTGGTCTCTCCCTCCCCCTCTCCATCTGCCGGTGCTGTGGTGACCAGAGGAGAAGCCGAGACCCAAGTGAGTGTGCGGCCCGGGCAGGGCTGGACGCGGGTGGGATGGGGCATGGGCCGGGAGCCCAAGTGTGCAGGACAAGGGGAAGCAAACTGCGGGGGTCTGGTGGGGTGTGGCTCTGCTCCGGGCCACCCAGTGCAGAAAAGGAGGACTTCCTGCAGGAGGAGGCTACTGACCAAGGAAGGGGGACAGCAGGGTGGGGAGAGAGCGGAGGAGGGAGCAAGGCTCTGGGGACAGGGAGCCGGGCAGCTGCATCTCCCCGTGCTCAGCCCCACGGCGGGGGTGTCTCCTGGCCCTCGATGTGGGAGTGGACACTGCAGTGGGGTGGGCTTGGGAGGGAGCACCCCACTTCAGAGAGACTCCTTGATGGTACCTGAGTAGTTCGCCGAGCGGGCCGCTGAGTCTGAGCCCTGTGGGCGACGATGCTTCTCGTGGAGGGTCTGCCCTCGTTTTGTTCACCGTGTTGCAGAGATCTCTTAAAAAATGAAACTCTTCTAACTCTTCGCTTTTAACAAATGCTTACAAACCCCAACTCTTCCTACGTGATTTACCTTCCGTCCCCTTGAGCCTCTTGCTGGCTTCTTGCTCCACACGAGGCACCCGGGGCGGCGACCACGTCTGCAAAGGACAGTGGGGCGCATGAAGGGGTTGCTGCCCGTCTCCGCCCTTTGCACTCCATTTTTCAGTAATTTTAAATCAAGTAATGCCGGATCACGAGATATTTTCTCGTTTTAGAAAAATTGTTTGTGTTTTCACTATAAAATAAAACACCTCATTAAAGAAAATTTGGAAAATACGTAAAAGTCAAATGAAGAAAAAAAAAAAATCATCTATAATTCTCCCACCCAGCCAGCCAGACTGTGGAAAAGAGCAGAAATAAAAGCCTTATTTCTTCCTACTCCTTTTTCCATGCACAGGGCTTGGAAAAAAAGATTTAAACTCCGTGCTGTTTCTCAAACATTGCACTGTCTATACAACCTTGAATCCTGCCTTTTTAAAATTTAGCACTATTCATAAGCATTTTTCCATGTTTTTACATAGTCTTCTTAAATATTTTGAATGGCCACATAATATTCCGTCAATTGAACAAACCATCATTTTCCTAACCGTTCCCCTCCTGCAGGCCTCCCCCAATGCTTTACTGTCGTCAGTAACGCTGGGCGGAAAGCGCCCTCCGTCTGTGGGGTTATTTCCCTAGGCCACGTTCCCAGAACTGGGATTACTGGGTCAAAGAGTCTAAGAGTTCTCAAGACATCGACACCCATTGCCAGACTGCTTTCCACGAGGGCCCCGCCAGCTCTGTGCCCACGCCCCCTCCCCAAGGACAGAAGCAGCCTTTTCCATCCAGCTGCTGGGGGCGAGAGGTGCCCCTCACGCCGTCCTCCGCCACCCCTGCCGCTCCAGGGCTGGCCCCATGTGTGCTGACTGCTCGCTGTGTTGTCCCCATCCCCAGTTTGCATAAGGGTGCAGTCTTCTCTGCATTTGCTGAAAACGTTTTCTGGTCTGAGGTTTTTTTTTTTTTTTTGCCTTTCGATTTTTGCTCTTTTCACATACATAAGTTTTTCATTTGCGTGGAGTCATCTGGCCGTTGTTCCCTTAAAGGAAACTTCTGGTGCTTCTGAGCTTCGAAAATCCTAAATCCTTTCCTACTCCAGTTTTTGATCGATATACGGCTCCACTTTCTGCTATGGCTTGTTTTAAAAAATTGTTGTTGTTGTTTAAACTCTTTGCTCCATCTGGAATGTATTGGCGGGGGGAGGGGGGTCACGTAGCCAGCCGGATGGGGGGCCTCGTTTCCTCTTCAAAGTGCTTTCTTCCCAGCCCCCTCTTCTCCTTCCTTTGGGCCTCCAGAAAGAAATATTGAAGGGGGCCGGGGAAACGTGAAGGGCTGCGACAGCCGTTTCTGGCTGCAGAAGCCAATGCTGCCTGCGGCGCCCGCCCTCCCTCCTGGTCAGACCTGGCCACGTTTGTCCATTTGTTGGAGAAAAAATAAGGTGCCCTTCCTGGATAGATGGGGGAAACGGTGTTGCAATGTCCAGAAGCTGGCAGAATAGAAGGGGACAATAAAAGGTTGAAATTTCAAAGGGATCAAGCCACTCAGGATGGGGGTTTTAAAACTGATAGGAACAAAGTTCAGGCAAAGGTGCCCTGGGCCATGTGTCTTTGGCCAGGTGTAAGAGTGCGTGGGCATGAGGGCTACGCTGGAGCCGGGTAGGGCCAAGTGTCCCTGGTCACTAGCCTCTCTCTCTTCTGCAGACTCACTGCTCCTAAGATCCCGGAAGGGGAGAAAGTAGACTTCGATGTAAGTTGATGGGACCCAGATCAACATGGCCACCCCCACCCCATACTCCAGCCTCGGGTTCCAGGCTAGGCCTCAGAAGGTCATCTTCTCTCCAGCAGCCCTAGCTAGAGCTACCACTCCCTGGTTCCAGGCAATTCTGCCACAATCAATTCCTGGACCAGAGGAAATGCCTCTGAGAACAGACATCTCTCTTCCTTCCTCTCCCATCCATCCTTCTATCCATCCATCCCTCCACCCATCTATCCACCCATCAACTCAACCATCCACCCGTCTGTCCATCCATCTGTTCATCCACCCATCCATCCACCCATTCAGTCATCCACCTGCCCATCCACTCATTTATCCACCATCCATTAATCCACCCCTCCATCCATCCATCCACCATCCATCCACCCATCCATCCGTCCATCCATCCATCCACCATCCATCCATCCATCCATCCATCATCCATCCATCCATCCATCCATCCACCATCCATCCACCCATCCATCCACCATCCATCCACCCATCCATCCATCCGTCCATCCATCCTTCCATCCACGATCCATCCATCCACACATCCATCCATCCATCCATCCATCCATCCATCCATCCATCCATCCTTCCATCCACGATCCATCCATCCACACATCCATCCATCCATCCATCCATTCATCCATCCATCCATCCTTCCATCCACGATCCATCCATCCATCCATCCACCCATCCATCCATCCATCCATCCATCTATCCATCCTTCCATCCATCCATCCATCCACACATCCATCCACCTATCCATTTAACCATTCACCCATCAATCTGTCTATCCGTCCATACATCCATCCATCCATCCACCCACAACCCATCCATCTATCTCTTCATCCATCCTTCTGTCTCTCATCCCTCCATCTGTCTATCCATCTGTTTATCCAACAAACTTATGTCACTCACCAGTCTCCTCTCTGCCAAGCTCATGCAGGGCATCTCCAAGGGTGACAGAGTCAAGTCAGAGCTGGTTCATCCCAGGGATGCCGATGACCTCATGGCTGGGCCTGGGCTCACCCGCAGGAAGGGCACCAACCCTGCCCTGTGGCTTGGGGATCAGGTCAACCTAGCAGCTTCCCCGGGGATGTGGCAAGAGTGGGAGGTCCCTTGCCTCTCTGTTTCCACGGTGGCCAGAGGAGTCAGGCTTCTCTGTTGAGGCAAAGGAAGGTGTCACTTGCCGCAAGGTGGGCCGGGCAGGACCGAGGGTGGAGAGGAGGGGAGGGACTCCCGAGCCTGTGTCCCTGCCCACAGGACATCCAGAAGAAGCGCCAGAACAAAGACCTCATGGAGCTGCAGGCCCTCATCGACAGCCACTTCGAAGCCCGGAAGAAGGAGGAAGAGGAGCTGATCGCCCTCAAGGACAGGATCGTGAGTGCGGTGGCTCTGCTGGAGGTGGGGCTGCTGGGCACTGTCTGGGTGGCTGGGCGGGCAAGGCCGCTGACCCGCTGCACGCCCTGGCCATAGGAGAAGCGCCGTGCAGAGAGGGCTGAGCAGCAGCGGATCCGCGCCGAGAAGGAGCGGGAGCGCCAGAACAGGCTCGCGGTGAGGCCCGCACGCCCAGCACAGCCCCCGCAACGGTGGCCCCGACCAGGTCGGGTCCTCAAGGCACAGCCGGGCCCAGCCCTGAGGGTCTTGGGACGGGGTCTCCGCAGGAGGAGAAGGCCAGGAGAGAGGAGGAGGATGCCAAGAGGAGGGCGGAGGACGACCTCAAGAAGAAGAAGGCCCTGTCCTCCATGGGCGCCAACTACAGCAGCTACCTGGCCAAGGTGGGCGCGGGCATGGCGTGGTGTGGGACAGCCGGCCTGGCTGCGCGGTGCACCCCTCCTGACACCGGGCCCTTGTCCGGCTGCTCCCGCAGGCCGACCAGAAGAGGGGCAAGAAGCAGACGGCGCGGGAGATGAAGAAGAAGATTCTGGCTGAGAGGCGCAAGCCCCTCAACATCGACCACCTGAGCGAGGACAAGCTGAGGTAGGCCCGGCCGGTGCCCGGGGAGAGGGTGGCAGCGGCGGGTGGCCCCCAAGCCCGCCTGTCCAGCCGGGCTTCACTGTCCCCCGCTTCCCAGGGACAAGGCCAAGGAGCTCTGGGAGACCCTGCACCAACTGGAGACGGACAAGTTCGAGTTTGGGGAGAAGCTAAAACGCCAGAAGTACGATGTGAGTCCAGGCACAGCTGGCCCGTGGGTCCCCCGGGGGCGGCCCCTCCCACATCCCCATCACACTCTGGACCTCCCTCTGCCCCAGGACCTGGCCACCCCCTCTGCCTCTGCTGAAGGTGTTGCTGGAGCTCATCCTCCAGGCCACAGCCACACCCCGAGCAGTCGGCTGCGGCACAGGCAGCATTGGGCCATCGTGAGGGAGTGGTGTGGCACAGGGATTCACAGTCTCTTTTCTGAATCCCCTGAGCCTTGTAGAAAGTCCCCAGCTTCACAGAGCTCATCTCCAGGGCACTAGGCCTCTGGTCCTGGGGCGCGTCCCCTAATAGCCTTCTCTGCAAACCCAAGTTCTGGCCACTGGTGGCCCCTGACACATCTACCACCTCAGAGCAGGCAGCAAGGGGTGACACACCTCCAGCACGGCTGGAGCTGGCAGCAACCTGCCCGGGCCAGCCTGTGGAGTTGGCGTCGGGGCATCAAAGGCTGGAATGGAAGCTTAGCTATTCCCTCGCCGCAGAAGCCCACGCAGGCCCTGCGTGCCTGTCCTGGGTGGTTAACGTGCTTGGTGCCAACACAGACCCCTTAAGCTTCACCATCAAAGCCATGTTGCCCACCCCCAGTCCCTCCAGGGTCCCCGGGGCAGAGGCAGGTCCTGCTCGAAGGGTATACACCCTGGCCATGTAAATAGGGTATCTCCCATGGGTGCCAAGAGAGTGGCTGCCAAGCAACCAGACCCAACAGACAACCAGGCAGATCCTAGCTCCTAGGAACTCTGGGCAGTTCCTCCTGGGAACTCCTAGGAACTCACCTAGTCGGTCTGTGCCTCAGTTTCCCCACCTCCCGGAGCCTCCCATGCATCCCTGCAGGCTGCTTTCCTCACCCTCGAGGCCCTCCTGGGGGCCTGCCCAGGCCACTCACTCAGTGTCCACAGAGCGGAATCACCATACTCTCTGCCACGTGGGGTCCCCAGAGCAATTGCCAGGTTAGCCAGCACAGGGCGGGCCCCGAAGCCGCAGCCACCCACCCAGCCTGCGTAACCATCTTGGTCTTTTAGATCATGAATGTCCGGGCCAGAGTGCAGATGCTGGCCAAGTTGTAAGTAGCCAGAGCCGCCACAGGCTGGGCTCCCAGTGTGCGCTGCACGGCGAACCTCTCGCATGGCAAAAACCCGGGTCGCCAAGGATGCCGGCGGCAGGGGGCCTGGAGCCCACGGGCCTTTCTCGTCCCCATCCTGCCCCCACCTGCTCCCTCCTGCCTCTGGTCGTCGGCTTCCGAGGCTGGCCTGCTGCCCTCGTTGGCAGGTGAGGAAGGGCCTGGCCCTCCCAGGAGCCTCACTGGGACCAGGGCGCCTCGGCCACAGTCAGGAGGAGGGAGCAGCTGGGCCGAACAGCAGGCGGGGCCGGGGGTCTGGGAAGGAGGACTTTACCTTCACCACCCCCCACTCCACGCCCCCTGCCCTGCATCCTGCCGCAGGCTGCAAGGTAAGTGGCCAGCTCCGGAGCTGCTGTGTGCCGCAGCCCAGGCCAGCCAGAGCGAGTCACAGATGCCAACCCAGAGGGCCAAGGGACAGTGTCCCCTACAGAGGAGCCAGGACACAGTAAGGGAGCGGTGGCACAAGAGGCTGTGTTCTGACCACCCCTGCGGTGGAGAAGGGCATCCAGCCAACCCACGCCAGCCCGGCCTCTTGGTCCCCATCACGGTACGTCATCTGTGTTGTTTACAGATCACCACCCTCAGGAGCCGCATCGACCAGGCCCAGAAGCAGTGAGTAGCCCTGCCCGTCTTTGCTCTGCACTGGGGGTCCCACAGGATCCCACGGGGTCGGCTGCTGCCTGCCCTGCCCAGGGCCTGGTCATCGTAGCCAGCCCCTAAACAAAGGCCAGCGGCAGCCGGACCTCAGCAGAGCAGTAACAAGACTAACCCGGCCAGGCTGCTCGGGCAGCATGTCCAGGCCCTGAGCCCCAGACACCCACACGCAGGGTAGCCAAGGAGGTTGGCGAAGTTGAGGGTGGGGGACAGGTGGAGCTCACTGGTAATGGCCTCCCTGAGTGGCCTGCAAAGCCATCCTGAGCACCTGGACGCCCCATCAGCATGTCACTCTCAAGAGTGACCTGGGATGGTGGGGAATTAAGGGGCCTGGGCTCTGTCACCAGCACCTCTGGGAGGCTGGGCAAAATTGCCAGTTTCACAGGATAGTCACCTCTCTGCCCATAAAACCACGTCCCCACGGGGGCAGCGGGGTCTATTCTGACAGCTGCTCACATACCCCCAGCCTGTACGTGGGTGCCCGTGGTACACGCCACGCTGGGGTCTGGCCACTAAGCCCGGCCATGGAGCCGTCTCATGCTCCCCCAAGCAGGGCAGTGCTCCGGGGGCTCCCTGGAGTTGCTGTGTTTTCTGGGATTTTTCTCCTCCTCCCTGGCCCTGGCATCCTGGCTGCTCCTGGGGGGGGGGGGGCGGGGGGGGGGGGGGGCGCTGGTGAAGATGATCCCACGGCCTCCTGGTCTCTGTGTGCAGGTCAGGGGCTGGTACAGGCCACTGTGAGAGTGGGTGGTTCAGAGAGGTGGGCATGCATGTGCGTGTGCGTGTGCGTTTGCTCTGGAACGCGTGCAGGGCATAGCCTTCACCAGTGAGAGGTCCTGCTGAGCCGCCATGCCTGAAAGGGGTTGGCCTCCTGGGGCTCAAATGCTCTTGTCCTCCCACTGGCCTTGGCCCTAACCTGGCCCCTAGCCCCCTCCTGGCTGGCCTCAGACAGACGGCCAGCTCCTGAGGACACCGCCCCTCAGAGGCTGCCCTCCAGAGGGGCCGAGTAATCGGGACAGTGGTAGTCACCTGGCGAGACAGCCTTCCCAGGCGGGAGCTGTCCGCAGTAGCCCCCCAGGTGGGGAAGAGAGGATGGGGAAGGGTGCTCTGGGCTCGGCCACCCCCTCCTAACCACACTGACCGCCCAGCCCCAGCCAGACCAGGCACAGGTGAGTGAGCTGGAGCCAGGTGTGCAATGCTGTCAGGGCCAAGGGTCTGCATTGGCCAGCCAGGGCTGGGGGCCTGGGAGGGGGCTCGGCTAACAGTTGACACTCAAGAGCAACTTGCTTCCCGTCTGCAGCAGCAAGAAGGCTGGGGCCACGGCCAAAGGCAAGGTCGGTGGGCGCTGGAAGTAAAGGAGCCGCAGCGGCCCCCCGAGGCAGAGACCCTTGGCCCTCGCCTGCTCCTGGATCTGTCTGTGTTCCAGCTTCCATGCCAAGACTCCTTCTGGGGCTCCTGGATGGTCCTGCGGGCAGAGGGGCTGCTCCGGAGCCCCCCCAGCGTCTCTGTCCTCCGTGCCCCCATCCTCCGGGATCCATAAATAAAGCTAGTGGACCCCCTTCTGCCAGGCGTGTGCTCACTTGTGCAGGGGGACCCTCAGGGACAGTGGGGTGGGCCTGCCCACCTCAGGGCCCAGCTCACGAGCAGACAGTGCACATTTTACCGCCGCCAGCGGCTACACCTAGACCCTGCTGTGGATGCTGGGCCCAGACGCCTTCTGCGATGCTGCCAGTGGCCTCTCACCCCAGCATGTTCCCTCTGTCTCCTGACCTGGAAGCCCATACGCCCCTCAGCTCTCCACTTCATCTAGGGTCTTTGCCCACCCTGAGGAGCCCCAGCTGCCTGGGTCAGCTCTGAGGACAACTGGGGACAAGAGCTTTGCCTCAGGAGGGCTTGCGGAGGAGGCGCCATGGGAGACTTAGGTGGAAGCAGGGCCAAGCCACACTCCAGAGGGCACACGCTCCAGAGGGCACACGCTTCAGGGGGCACATGCTCCAGAGGGGCACACACTCCAGAGGGCACACACTCCAGAGGGCACACACTCCAGAGGGCACACACTGCAGGGGGCACACACTGCAGGGGGGCACACTCTCCAGAGGGGTACATGCTCCAGGGGTACACATGCCCCAGAGGGAACACGCTCCAGAGGGCACACGCTGAATGGGGCACATGCTCCAGAGGGGCACACGCTCTAGAGAGCACACGCTGCAGGGGGGCACACACTCCAGGGGGGCACAAACTCCAGAGGGGCACATGCTCCAGAGGGGCACGCTACAGGAGGCACACACTCCAGAGGGGCACACACTCCAGAGGGGCACACGCTCCAGAGGGGCACACGCTCCAGAGGGCACACGCTCCAAAGGAAACACACTGGAGGGGGGCACACGCTCCAGAGGGCTCACACTGCAGGGGGGCACACACTCCAGGGGGGCACACACTCCAGAGGGGCACATGCTCCAGAGGGGCACACGCTCCAGAGGAAACACACTGCAGGGGGGCACACGCTCCAGAGAGCACACGCTGCAGGGGGGCACACGCTGCAGGGGGGCACACACTCCAGAGGGCACATGCTGCAGGGGGGCACACACTCCAGGGGGGCACACGCTCCAGAGGGGCACACACTCCAGAGGGCACACGCTGCAGGGGGCACACTCTCCAAGGGGGCACACACTCCAGAGGCGCACACACTCCACAGGGCACACGCTCCAGAGGAAACACACTGCAGGGGGGCACACGCTCCAGAGGGCTCACACTGCAAGGGGGCACACCCTCCAGGGGGGCACATGCTCCAGAGGGGCACACGCTCCAGAGGGCACACGCTCCAGAGGGGCACATGCTCCAGAGGGCACACATTGCAGGGGGGCACACACTCCAGGGGGGCACACGCTCCAGAGGGGCACATGCTCCAGAAAGCACACGCTGCAGGGGGGCACACGCTGCAGGGGGGCTCATCCTGAGGCTGTTCTCTTGAGAGCCTGACAGATCCAGGAAAGGAGTGCAGAAACGCACATTTCTGGTGAGAGCACAGCTACGGCAAACACAGGGGGCTTCTTCTATATCATACGAGACCTCAGGGCACAACTGTGTAATAAATTTGAAAATTCTGACCAAATAGAATTATGGAAAATGTAAGTCACAGAAATTAGATCCAGACATAGGCCTTGTGCAGTAGAGTATGCATGGAGGGGGGTTGGGTCCGGGCAGGCTCTGGGTGGGGCTGTCGGCCAAGCCACTGCGGGGCCCATGAGAAAGCCCCTGTGGTCTACCACGGTGGGGACTCAGGTCCTGACAGCAGGGTGGAGCCCCCAAATAACACACACACATGTGTGCACACCCCAACACACACACACAGAGCAACGTGTGCCGAAGAGCTCATGGATGAGAGAGCAAGTCAGACTGGAAAACAGGACACTCAGAGGGAAATATGGGCCTGCCTGCTTATGCCAGAAAAGCGGGGAGACCAGACCCCAAATATTCATAAGTCATACCTCTAATTCAAGAAATTAGCAAATGAACAAAAAACTACAATCAAGAAAGAGAGAAGCATGGAAATAATATGGAACAGAGTTAATAAAATAGCAAACAATTAAGGGAGAAGATCAGCAAAATTAAAAATTGGTCTGAGAAAGAACTAATAAAACAGTGCAACACTGGGCATGATAATTAAGGATAAAGGGGAAATAACACAAATAAACAGGATTAGGAAGAAAAGAGGAACCTAACTACAGATGTTGCAGAGATTAAATCTGCAGTAAAAGAACCGTGTAAACAACCTCCTGACAATATATTTGAAAACTGGATAAAGTGGCCAATTCCCAGGAGAAAGACGACTTACGGAGTTGACTGAAGGCAGGCGGGAAGCAAACCTCGAATAGGGTGATTCGTTTTAAAGACGTTGAACCAGTAGCTAAATATCTCCCGCCAAAAATCGCTATGAATTTGGGCCGAGCCCGTGGCGCACTCGGGAGAGTGCGGGGCTGGGAGTGCGCAGTAGCGCTCCCGCCGCGGGTTCGGATCCTATATAGGGATGACCCGTGCGCTCACAGCGCTCACTGGCTGAGTGCGGTGCGGCCGGTCTCAAGAAGGACAAAAAAATAATAATAATAAAATAAAAACTGTGTTGTGGTGTGTGTAGAAGTCATTAAAGTTAAAAAAAAAAATCACTATGAATTTGTAAAAATCACAACATGACCTAGGGGCTTCTGTCTAACATGAAGCTGGTTTTGCATCGGAAAACTCAGTGAGGCGGTGATTCATGCTCACGGCCCATAAAGGGTATAAAGGTTCAAAAGAATTGGAATAACACGCAACATCATCTATTGAAAAGGAAACCTCCTCAACCCCAGGACGGCATTTTCCAAAACCCTACAGTTGCATTAGAGAAAGTGAGAAGATGCCCTTGAGGATGAAGAGTCGGGCACTGTGTCGAGTCGGGGGTCCCATCCAGAGCCATGAGACAAGAAAGTGGAGCTGCTGCTCCTTTTTAGTTTATTTTTTTAAACGACTGGTAGGTAAAACCAACCAACCGAACAACCAAAAAAACAAGCAACTATTATCATGACTGACCACCCCAAAATTGTCTAGGAAACCCAGGAGAACGTACAAACGTAAACGGTCAGCACTGAGAAGCGTGCAGAGTGGCTGCGTGCAAGCGCAAGGTCCCCAGAGTGAGCACCTCCCCGTGTCCCAGCAACAGAAAATTAGCAGAAATAATGTTCAAAGCACCGTGTCCAGTAGAAGTTTTCAAAAGCTCAGTAGGAGTAAATCTAACTAAAGATGTGCAAGACAATCGCTGAGGAAGCAAAAAAAAAAAAAAAAAAAAAATATATATATATATATATATATATATATATATTAAAAGACATTAAAGACAACCTCAGTAACTGAGGCTGGTTAGTATGCTCCAGGAGAGTGCTAGAGAAAAATTACTCAGGGGAGCTGTTACAGCGTGGTTAGAAAGGCCTTATGCAGGCTCACCACTGTGGGTACGGGGACCCCTACCACGGGACCTTGCAATCGTGGAGAGAGACTGGGCTCAGCTCCGAGCACCACAGGGGCAAGTGGGGACTTACAGCCAAGGAGCAGGGTGGGGGTCCGTGGATGGAAACGTCAGGGGTGAGGGGGATTCTGGCCAAACCAACCCAACAGGATTCTCGCTGCCACAGGCCAGGGTGAGCAGACATCACCTGGGGGCTGGTGTAGAAGGAGGAACTGGTTAGATACCGAGGGTGGGAGGTTCTTGTTACACTGACTTAGCAGGGCTCGCTGAAACTGGATTTTACACGGAGAAGATTCCGGAGCCTGACTAAAGCTTGACCAGGCAGAGGAAGATGCGATATCTTAAAAGTATTAATCCTCTCTAAGTTAACTTATGAATTCAGGGCAACTCAAACTCATTCCAACAGGGCTTCATATGGAAATGGACAAACTGACTTTAGAGTTAATAGGGAAGGAAATGGGCCATAAAAGCCAAGACGATTTTAAAGAGAAGGCCAAGGCCAGGGGATTTGTCCTTCCAGCTGGCCGGCACGCAGGAAGCCAGCTCTCTGAAGTGCTGCAAGGTGGGCTCCCAGACGGACACAGAAGACGGAGACAGACAAGTCCCCCACACACAGGGGACCTGGTGGTGGCAGATGCGGCGCTGAGAGTAACTGGGAAGGACGGTGCCGAGACAGTTGCGTGTCTGCTGAGAACGAATAAAGGTGCTGGCCCGCCTCCTGCCACCCACAGAAACCAACTCCTTGTCATTTAAAGACCTGCATATGACAAAGAAAAAAAAAATCAAACTTTTAGAGGGAAACTATGGGGGAGTATTAGAAAGCTCCATTTTGTTAAGAAAATTTCTTAACCAGGACATAAAAACCACAGATCATGAGAGATTGGCAAATTCAACAAGAAGCATGTAAGCGTTTTAAAAAATGAACTTCTCTGTATCAAAAGACACTATAAGCCAGTAAAAAAAAACAAAAAAAAAACCCAGCCATCTCTTAGGAGAAGGCATTTGTAACACTTATGACTGGTAAAGAATTAGCATTCAATGTCTATAATGAACTTAGGGTGCCCTTAGGAAAAAACAGGGAATTGAACAGAAAAACGGGCAAGGGCGTGAGCTAGCAGCTCACAGAGGGCAGACCCTGCATGGTCAGTACATGCACAACGAAAGGTACCAGGTGGGAAATCAAATCAATGCTACCACGAGGTGCCATTTCATACAAATTAGATGAACAAAATGTAAACATCAGGAAAAGGAATGGCTTATCTTTGCAGAAGAATGCCAGCTGATAAGTGGAGATGGAACGATAGAATTCTAAAAGCACCATGTTGCAACCATCTATGTGACAGTTGATTGAGCAAGGGTTATCCATAGAGGCACAGATCACCCGGTGAGAAGTCAGTGGGGGTCGGAATATTCAGCCTCAAAGCCCCAACTGACTTAT